CACAGATCCCTGTCGCACGCAGATTGCGCCGGTGCATTCCGGCTTGGAGACAGCGGTTAACCGATCCCTGGATGCTCCAGGTGGTCACACTCAGTTACAGAATACCACCGCCCCTGTCAGTGTCCTCCCCCCGTTGGGTGCACTGCCAGGGGATCCCCCCAAGGCAGAAGCAATCAGACAAGTAGACAGTTTGCTAAGAAAGGGCGCCATACACAGAATAGTGCAGCCAGCACTAAGTCCGAGCTTCTACTCAAATGTATTCGTAGTACCAAAATCTACAGGCGGCTGGCGTCCGGTTCTGGACCTAAGCAGATTAAACCAGTATGTGCTTCTCGATCGATTCCGCATGGAGACACCATCCAGTGTTCTACTCTCCATTCACCGGCTCGACTGGCTAGCCTCTTTAGACTTATGCGACGCTTACATGCACATACCGATGCACCCAACGAGTTGCCCTCTCCTTCAATTCGCCCACCTGGGCCAAGTATTCAAATTTTGGGTGCTCCCCTTCGGGTTATCCACAGTGCCCTACGTGTTCACAAGAGTGATGAAACAGGTAGTACTGCTGCTCCACCAAATGTCGGTACACATCAATCCGTACCTAGACGACTGGTTGCTACACAACCCAGACAAAAGGTTATTAGCCAGACATGTAAGGCTTACACAGGATTTACTTCACTAGTTGGGCTTTCTAGTAAATCCCAAAAACTCCCATCCCGACTCGACTCCACAGTTGGTGTTTCTGGGCATGGAGTTTGACACCGAAGTAGGCCTGGTTCGCCCATCTCAAGCGTGTTGCCTAGTGCTAAGCAACCTAGCAGAACGCTTAGTCAGCGTTCCTTCAGTGTCCCTCCGAGAACTAATGCGGCTTATCGGAATGATGACCTCCGTTCGAAGGGTAGTTCTCCAGGCCGCACTATGCAGCCGCCCGGTCCATTATTGGAACACCGAGCTCACCTACGGGAACTAAACATGCGAGTATTGATCCCGGACCAAGTAAAGGAAACCCACTCGTCACACCTTTGACTCTGGTAACAGACGCCTCCCTCCAAGGGTGGGGAGCGCATCTATTGGACAAACATGCCCATAGAATATGACCCCCGCAGTGGGTTTGGGATGACCATATCAACTGGCTCGAGCTGAAAGCAGTGCACCTAGCACTTTCACGCTTTCGACCCGAAGTTCGAGTTCGAGTCCTGCTCCGCACAGACAACACAGCGGTGGTCTCCTACATCAACAAGAGCAAATTCTCCTCTGGTGCCTGGAATACAATGTAGAGCTAACCGCACACCTTCCAGGTCCGCCCTTTCGAGGTGCTTCCGTCTCCAGAACACGGAGTGGCAGATCCCCCAGTGGGTAGCCTCCAGGCTGTTTCGGCTATGGGACGGTCCAAAGATAGACCTGTTCACCGCACCCCGGAACGCCAAGCTCCCGACATACGTAACACTCCTGCCGACACCAGGAGCCTGGGCCGTGGACGCCTTATTGATCCCCTGGTCCCACATGGATGTGTACGCCTTTCCTCCCTTCTCGCTAATTCACCGGGTACTGGAGAAACTTTGACAAGAGCCCACCTGCATATTAACTCTGGTGGCGCCCAATTGGCCGACCAAGGCCTGGTTTCCGCTCCTGCTGGAAATGATAGTCGAAACACCGGTAGTGCTGCCGGACATACCAGACTTGCTGTCCCAACCGGACGGCACACTACCAGCAAGCCCAGCAGTGTACCACTTACACGCATGGAGGCTCTCAGTAGACTCGCGTAGACGAAAGATCTATCTAAGCGGGCTGCCAACGTCCTGGCAGGGCGAACAGGGATTCCACCAACGCTGCCTACGACTCGAAATGGCGAGCATACACCAGTTGGTGTAGTGGAAGGGAGATTGATCCATGCCATCCCTCTATCGACTTCTTTGTCCAATTGTTTGACGAAGTGGGTCTGTCCTACGCAGCGATCATTGGCTACAGGTCAGCCTTGTCCCCCGCCATAGAAAACTTTTTGGGGTCAAGTCTAGCCGATTGTCCCATTATTAGGAGACTGTTTATTGCTTTCCATAATCAGAGGCCCAGGGCCTGTTCAAGGGAACCGCCCAATTGAGACCTGTCGGTTGTTTTATCAGCCCTAAGCAGACCTCCCTTTGAGCCCCTTGTTTCAGCACTACTCAAGTTTTTGACGTGGAAAACAGTCAGGTAGGCGCTGGTCAGAGCTAGGCGCACTGTCCTTCGCGGACGGTTGTGCCGCCTTTATGGATGATCAAGTTGTACTAAAGACTCAAATCAAGTTTCTCGTCAAGAACAAAATTCAAGGACACGATCCTCAACCGATTGTCATCTCCCCAGCTGTCAAATATTGTCGGTCCGGAGGATCAGAAGGAATTGCTTCTCTGCTCGGTCTGAGCGCTGAGTTGTTACAAGAACCGTACCAGGTTTTCCAGACGGGGACCAAACACACGTTTTTGTGTTACGGCCCTGGCAAACAGGATAAGCCGGCTTCCCCGACTTCCATCTCCAGGTGGATTACTGCGACTGTACTGGAGGTCTATAATACACTATCCTCCTCAACACAGACCTTGCAGAGACACCAAGTACGAGCACATGAGGTCCGTGCGATTGCTAACTCACTAGCGCTAGCGTCAAGCGCCCCCCTCAAACAGATTCTGAGGCTTCTGGAGAATGCAGAATGTCTTCATCAACTACTACCTAAGAGACACTCAATCTATTGAGCAGGGTCTCTTCAGGTTAGGCCCCGTCTTAGCGGGTCAGGCTTTGATTACCGACCCAGTCCGAACGACCACAGGGGCCCCTGCGCATAAGTGATAAGTCAGTCCCGGCATTCTTGCGGGGAGATTGTCTGTACCACTAGCACTTCCTGGAAGCTCCCAGGTTTCGCTTCTTTTTTCGACCTACGCGCTCATGCAAACTCTTTCGGTCCTACTTCAAGCTTATCAGCTTGGGTCTAGCTTTCTTGGGCACACCGAACCCTGTCACCACAGCAGCATTGGCTTCTTGCTTCAGGGACAGCACAGGCAAGGTAAGACACCACCCTTCTTGGGTCTTCACTATGATATTGAGTTTGTTTTTATCTCGGACTGGGAAAAGTCTTTCATCACTTTTTCTGTTTGCTCGGACAAACCTGCCACCTATCGGTGTCCGACTCTGCCTACAGTTCAAAATAGTCATTTTGACTGACCGGAGTCTATGGTGGGTAATTGAACGTAGTGAATTTAGGCGAGGGTTCTTCGAACCCGTCTATTCACATAGTTCATACCCACCATAGACTCTGGGTTCCCCCCAACCACCCCACTCTTTCCATAGCGTTGGTCTAAGTCCTCGAGGCGGAGAGAAAGGACGGCCGCCTATGGCGCTGCCATGTGGCCTCAGACACTTGGGTTCGTGATGTAAGGGGTAAAAGAATCTTTGGGTCATGGGGCTTCCCCTGACCTGGATTCTATCTCTCCGTCACCGGCAGAATCGCTGATTAATGCCTACAGTTCAAAATAATCATTTTGACTGACCGGAGTCTATGGTGGGTAATTGAACGTAGTGAATTGTATTGTTTTTCTCACAAACCATTACTTTATATTGTGTTGAATATTGACACAACATCAAACATGTTAAAAATAAAATGCATACAACGTATATTTTTCTTTTACAGTATTTTATTTTTCAGATGTTAAAATTAAAATGTACAATTTATAAATCGTCGTGATATTAGAAAAAGTTTCGTTGAGAATAGGCGGGTTCGGAGAACCCTCGCCTAAGTCTATGGTAAAGATTGCATATTCACTGAGACTAATTTACCCCATTGGGATGTCAGCAAAATTAGTGAATATAAGACCCAGTGAATAATTAAGACTTGTACATTAAAAGAGTAAAATATATATTGCCAAGATAACATGAATTATATTTCTATCCTCATAACAATATTCTCTTATACCCATGTACAATGTCCATTGCTGGGAAGTACTGTAGAATACTTTATTTTCGCTTGGAATTTATTTTCGCTATTTTCGCTGAAGGGATGATTCCGTGAAAATAAAATCCAGCGAATATACTTTTTTTCCTATATTTCACATTAAACTCATGAAAAATCAGTGAAAATGAATTCCAAGCAAAACGCCCAAAAAGCCTTTTCAGCGAAAATTAATTCCAGCGAAAATAAAGTATTCCACAGTATCTAGTTTGAAAACAATGTAGTCGTGAATTTGTTTGACAGACATTAAATCGTCACATATGACCTACATCTTTGTTTCAAATACATTACAATTGTACTGTGCGCAAGACTCTCTGTTGAAGTGTCACTATGCATATCTCTTGGGTCAATCTCAAAAATGTAACACTTGATGAACTACAATAACATTTGTATTATTGCAGGAATTAATAAGATAAAATGTAATTTGCGAATTTGCTTTATTTGACAGTTGAATAATAGAGCAGTAGAATGCACACTAGTGAAAACCTCTTCTGGTTACACTAGCAAAAAAGCTCAGTGCATATTTAGAGATGACAAAAGAAAAATGATAAAAAAAAAATTGTGTTGAACTTGTTTTTGTGTGTGTGATAATGAACACTACATTTGAATGAAGTAACTACATATATCATGCATTTGATGTATCATACTCGATGTAGTTAAACACCAACCTGACAACAAAAGAATAATAAAAAGTTATAAAATGCATACATATTAAAGCAAGAATAATGAACATATGAATTTGTTAATTTATTGTTTGTTTGAATTTCATTTGCCAAGTCGTTTGTAAATCTGTGTGAATTGAGACGTTATTCAAAGATTACCAGTACACGCTATTCTGGATTACTAAATGTTCAAGATATAGTATGGTATCACATTTTAAGGATAAATTGGGAAAACCTTTGCGAAACATGGTACTTTCGAAATTGACAGAATATTAATGTTGATATTATTCTATCAGCATGTTCCACTTGTATTCAATCTTTAAAATGATTTTTTGAAAAATAATATGTTGCTATTTTATCTGTAGGAGAGTATCCATTTGCAAGATGTTTTGTGTGCCATAAGATTGGTCATCTATCCCGACAGTGTCCAGACAACCCAAAAGGTCTTTATCCATATGGCGGTGGGTGTACCATATGTGGATCTGTGAAGCACTTTGTAAAAGACTGTCCAGATAATATCAGTCTTATTGGTGAGAAATAATTGCTTACTCAGTATTTGGTAGTTTTTGTTTTGAACTAAGGGTTATAAATCTAACTATTAAAACAATATTACTCTTTGAATGCATGTCGACAGTAGCCTGAAATGTACACCGCATTCTACTATTTATACACAACTCTATAATTAAGTAAGACATCAGTATATCTTGTAACACATTGAGATTTATGCAACTGTCATTTATACTATGAGATGTCATTGGCTATGTTCATTGGCAACACATTTCATTCATCATGATTGGCTGTGTTTACTTTGACGTCATGAGATATTTCTAGTGATGAATCTCACCTCCCACGGAGTAGTGTACAGTGAGTTGTATGCCTCATTGATTGGTGGAGTGACATATAGCGAGCTCGAATAGAACGCACCACATACAAAATAAAAATTCTAGGCATAAGTTGAAGGACAAATTAATAATATGTGGAACTTTGCTTATAGGTTCTAGGCATTATTGCAGTGGTGTTTAACAACCTCTGCTTTTTAACTCTGCTGTCGAATAAGTCAACAGAGCGGAGCTGTTCATATGTTCACCACTTCTATAGTTCACATCACATATGGCGCACCTACAGCCTCTGTAGTTCACATCACATACGGCCCACCTACAGACCCTTCTATAGTTCACATCACATATGGCCCACCTACAGCCCACTTCATAGTTTACATCACATATGGTCCATTAACAGATCCCTCCATAGTTCACACCACATATGACCCACATATGAGTGTCCATTGGAGTCACCTATACATTTTCGACTTCTTCATGAAAATAGCAATTTCGCTTGCTTTGATATTTGGTGTACCAGTATATGTACATGTATCTTGGATGGACCTTTCTCAAATTTGTCCATCTCGTGATGATATCTTTAATTCTCTAATCTTAGTGAATAATTTTGTCATTTTTAGTAAAAATGGCTATTTTTTACTTCTTCTTAAAATTGGCTAGCCTAACTGCTTTGACATTTGTAGACGCCTTGGGTTGACCCAATCTGATTAAAATCTGATGTAGTGTACAGGCTTTAATTATTTTGGCTATAAACTTATTTTAATTTTATTTTTTATTACTTTTGTTATTAATGCCTTTTTATTTTATTATTTTACTTTGATTTTGTGATATTTTTAATTCCGCCCTACCTAGGTAAAATAATAAAATAAAATAAAATAAAATAAAAGGGCATTAATAACAAAAGTAATAAAAAATAAAATTTTCTAATTTTAGTGAATATTTCAACTGTACAGTGGAGCTATATCAGTCGAGATATATCAGCCAGCAGGCTGCTTGATTATTGCATTTGTGGAGTGGCATTTTGTGAGTGGAATGCCACATAGTTAGTGGAATCTGCACATATAACAATTGGAGCTCTGCTTTAGTTTTTGGTGTTAATAGTGGCGTATAGCATGTGAAATGCTGCTGGATTCAAGACGTTAGTAGAATTCCGCTCAATTCCAGCCAATCCAATTCTGAATTTGATACTATGACATAATTTGAGTAGTATTTTGTTCATACTTTTTGAGTTTTGTATTAACATAGACATGATATGAGAATGTTTACTGTGCACGGAAGAAAGTAATTAACATTACATCGTACCTTGTTGTGGTTTAATCAACAGAAAAAGAGAAAGCAATAAAAGAACAGAAGTTATTGTCCAAGCAGCAGAAGCGAAGTATGGAGAGTGCCGATGCTGAGATTGGACTACCAAGACAACGCAAAGTAATAGCAAGACCAAAGGGACCAAAAATTGTGAAATTTTGAACTGAATCCTGCGTGTAAACCTACAATGTGTTCTATGTGACATATACGACATTTGTGAAATTCAAATATGTAATGCACAACAACTGTAATACCAATTGTGATGCTATAGGCTCCAGAGATTTGGGAATTTAAATAGGTAATTGGTGAAATAGTTTTTTTTTAAAGGCATTTTGGATTAAGATTTTTTCATTTTAGATTTGTTAATCCATTGCAACAGAGGATTAGCAAAGTGTAGATTTTGAGCAGAATGTGTCTTAAATAAACTGGATGTGAATGATGAGTATCAACTATGTAGTGTCATTGGTTATGGGGGGGGGGGGTACCATGAATGTTGAGACATGTGTGTATTATTATTATTATAAAAATATACTTTAGAAGTGACATATGTTCACCGTGTACTCATATAGTCTTACTATTTTAATATTTTAATATTTCCTGCATTAATAACTGTATACTGTATTCATTGAATTCCTAGGTTCTGACAACTATTCTTACATGGGGTGTTTATCAAAATAAATAAATATTTTGATATTTTGTATTGGTAGCAATTCTTTGTTGATTTCAAAATGTGGTTGCGCTCAAACGTTAAATATACAAATGACTCACTCTGGTTCACATCATTTTCACTAACAGCTCCCTCTACAGTTCAGTCAGGACAAATGGTAAAAGGGCATATAACCAGATTGTTTTGAATCAGGATATTTTGCCTTATATCATGTTGGTACACTTTATATATGGCTTATTGAGAAGAACTACACCAAAGCCAGGGGTCGAACACAGGTTGCTCAGGGAAATGTGTTTCTACTTGTTGATGTTCATTCCATTTAGGGTTAGTCTTGACCGAGTCTTTATTTAATGTTGTGAGATTCAAAGACAAAATATCCTGATACTTGCAGTTCATTTCACAAATGGACCAACATTTCCCTCTGCACTTCATGTTACAAATGGCTCACCTGCAGCTCTATCTGTAGTACACACCACATGTTCTGTCAGCTCCCTATGTAATTGTTTATGGTTCATATTATAATAGCAAATAATCAAATAGCTCCTTCTATAATCACATCATACATGTATGTGGCCCAACTACAGCTCTTTCTATAGTTCACATCACATATGGCTCGCGTGCAGCTCTCTCTACAGTTCACATCACATGGCCCACCTCCACCCTTTCTATAGTTCACATCACATATGGCGCACCTACAGCCCCCTTGATAGTTCACATCATATATGGTGCACTTGTAGCCCCCTTCAAAGTTCACATCACACATGGCCCACCTACAGCTCCCTCTGTAGTTCACATCACATTTGGCCCACCTACAGCTCCCTCTGTAGTTCACA